AGCTACAAAAATATTTACTGCCGGATATAAACACACATTAATAAGAAGCTAGAATCGGTCTACATTAACACCGGAACTAGTCCTTTATTAAAAGAAATACAATTTGAACATTTAAATATTCAAATTGTATCTGTTAAACCTGATGCTGGCCCCTAAAAGTGCCAAAAACAATTGTTTTAATAAAGGACTGGTGCCAGTAAAAATCTGAAAGGTGTCTTTTAATATATAAACACACATTTGTTCACGGTTTATTTATTTTTATAAATATATAGGATAAGTCACACAGCTGAAAACGCTTAATGTTTTTAAAGAGAAACAGAAACACAAAAGCCATTTCTTTTTTAACTGAATTAAACTGAAATTTGATAATTGCAGTATGTTTTTATGCAATTGAATATATGAAAATGAATGCAAATGTTTATACTTATATATATATATATATATATATATATACAATAACTGAAATAACTTGTATATATATATATATAGGATGATTCAATTATTGGAGATAAGAAGATGGGACTAATTATCAAGTTTATAGAGCAGTCAGAGGATAGTGATGGTGATGTTGCAAATCTGATTTTTGAGATATAGGAAAAAGTTTTTTAAAATTATAAGGGGTGTTTTTGAGCCATTATATGGACAGTATGCAACAAAATAGATACCTTTTTTGTAATAAGTAACATTTTCTTAAACTAACAATTTTCAAGATATTAGCCAGTTTCTGCTAAAAATCTGATTTCTCTTTTTCCAAAAGTTTCTATGCTGGAAACTAAGTTTATCAGTTTAATTATCAAAAAGCTTTACATGACAGAAAAAGTTGATAGTACCAAAAGTGCATTTCAAAATTTTATTTAAATTAGATGCTGCAAATTTTTATCTCTTTGGTATATATAGACATTTTTCTAGGAAAAATGTTTTAACACATTTTGTAATTTACATCTACTAATCTTATGAAAACTTCCCAAAATTCAGGTTTTCATGTTTTCAGTAGAAGGATACTGAAAGCAAACTATTTCCTTCATTTGTCCCCATAAAGATTGGCATAAAGGTTTGCAGCTTGTAAATAATTTTCGAGACATGCACCTAAAGCTATCAGCATAGTAAATGCTTCTACATTTGAATAACTCATTTTCATGAAAATAGAGGAAACAAGTAAATACACAAAAAATATTTGTTTTAAAAAGATCACTTTGAAAATGACTCCTTCATGCCTTTGAAAAAGTAACAATTCAATTTATTCAAAGGTTGCTTGTTCTGATACAATAAGATGATTTAAAAAAAAAAACTGATAAACTTAGTTCCCAGCATAGAAACTTTTGGGGAAAAAGCAAAATCAGATTTTGAGCAGAAACTGGCTGATATCTTGACAACTGATCACATTTTCTTAAATTTAACAATTACAAAAGATGTTTGTTGTTGCATCATATAATGGCTCAAAAACACCTCCTTATAATTTAAAAAACCTTTATTTTGTTCAAAAATTTTAAAAGTTAAATTGAAGACAGTCTGTTGAAAACAGAATCACCATTTATTCACTTTCAATGTTCCTGAATACAAACTTTTGATTACCAACCTTTCTCTGTCATCAAAATTAAAACTTTCCTTTAAAAACAAAGAAAAAATATCCAATTAAAAACACAAAACAAGCTGAAAATCTACATTTACCAGTACTTGCTTCTAGTAGATAAAAAGTTCTACTGTCTCCAAGTGGTAAGGATGGAAGGAAAGAAGTCTGTGGCATTGCCCGTTCTGATTTTTAAACATGTGTTTTTAATTGGATATTTTTCTTTAAGGAAAGTTTTTTTAAGTTTAATGACCAAGTAGCCTACAGAGAAAGGTCAGTAATCAAAAGTTTATATTCCAGAACATTGAAAGTGAATAAATGGTAATTCCTTTTTCAATAGATTGTCTTCATTTTAATTTTTAAACTTAATTGCCATCTGACAAAATTCTACAATTTAGTTGAACTTTTTTGTTTCGTATCTCAAAAACCGCTGATATTCAAGGTCACCAAAATTGTCCCATCTGCTCTATAAACTTGAAATTAGTCCCATCTTCCTATCTCCAATAGTTTTTGAGGGGAAGAACTACTGAATGCCACTAGTGAATTACCCTGTATATAAATATTTATTAATTTCTTTTACCTGAAAATATATTCAATTTATTTGAACTAAATAAATATGTAATTTAATAAGAATCTCATGTTTTCTTCTATTATTAGATGATGATGTAAAATTTTCAAACTGTGATCTTCATGTTGGACGATACCATCTTGTTGGGGCTGATTTACGTTCAATCACTGAATTGGAAAGAAAACTTTTGAATGATGGTTTACTTGATACAACAGTACCAACAATTTTCTTGGCTGAATGTGTATTGGTATATATGAGCATAGAACAATCTTCAGCATTACTTAAATGGATATCTAAAAATTTCCAAACAGTTGTTTTTCTTAATTATGAACAGGTAAAAACATTAATATCTATATGTTATATTAATATAAGTTTTAAAACAACAAGCATGCTTCAACTTGGTAGAAAATTTTTTTTAATATGCAATATTCAGGTAGCCTTTACTAGCTATTGTCATGTTTTGAATGAATATTTAAATAGAAACAAATGGAAACAACACTTGTTGACTACAAAGTATATGTTTAAATATCCAGAAAATAATTGTTGACTTCAAATATTAAAATTATTATAACTTGAAAGCAACAAAATTCTTTTCTGGACATATAAATGTGTGTTCTATTTGTCAAGCTTCTGTTTGTTTCTATTTAAATAGTCATTGTAAGTAAGTGATGACTAGTAAAGGCTAGCTGAAAACATTTACATTTTAAAAAATTTTCACTGAGTTAATGTTTGTTATTACTTTGATCATGTTCCTGATTTTAAAATTATAAAATTTTTAATATCTAAGATTTTAAATTTAATTTATTTAATGAAATATTAGTGCTGTAGTCTCTAGAAAGTATAGTTAGGTCCCTATTTATTGCAATATTCAATTTAGTGTGTATTTGCTGCTGCTTGCATAAGATACATTAGTTTTTGTACATTATCTGAAATGCTCTTTAAAATGGGCAAAAAGAAAGATTCCTTCAGATGAAAATACTGAGTGTAAAATAGAAGTGACTTGTTATGTTATTTTTCCATCATGTCAAATTTTTGTTCTGACACAAATATAGTTATAACAATCCTAAAAATTGACCTCTTTGAGCTCTCTGAGCGGTAAGGGGCCTAAAACCACAAAAAAAAAATCTTAAAATAGGATGTGATGTTGGAATGGGTCTTAATTTACACTATGGAATACTACAGGTATACCTTGACTTACGTCGTTCCCGATTATACGTCGTTTGTTAAAAAAGTATATGGAAAAATAAAAATCAAGGTTAAGTCATTTTATTCGACTTTACGTCTGTCCGCCACAAATATTGAAGTCGTAATATCACTATAAAAGCATTTAAAGCACATAAAATCATATTAAAATATATACGAGTATGTTCTGTATTTACAGAACATGCATTCGTAAATTTAGATTACTTTTTTCTGTACTATATTAAAAACTAAAATTTATTTGTTTGTAATCTTAAAATAGATCCTTATTAACCATATATTATTAGAAATTCATTAATAAATAAAATACAGAACCAGAAATGGTAATTTATGGTTTAGCCTAGTGATGAGTAGATTCGGAGACAAGTAAATTCGACTTACGTCGCTTTCCTGGAACCAATTACCGACGTAAGGCGAAGGTATACCTGTATATAATAATCAGTGGAAATAAAATAAAAAGGTAAAGTTGCATCAGCTTTTTGTGATTTGCAAACATCTATATGGAATGTAGATGTTTGCAAATCACATTACAGTGATTTAAATGGAGTCTTTTAATTTCCAAATTCTCCTGATGACAATGACTATAGGTTCGTCGAAAGTGCTTGTGATAAAAAACATACATGTAATGCTGACCTCAGTGCCTTTTCCATTTTAGAATAGTTTTTAAATATTCCTTTCATTTTTGGTTCAAAATAAGATTTTCAATTAATGTATCAATTAAACATTTACTAACATGAGTTTTTATATATTAATGTAGGTTAATATGGGTGATAAGTTTGGTCAGGTAATGATTCAGAATCTTCAGAAGAGATGTTGTGAGTTACCTGGTGTTAAGGCATGCCAAACTTTGGAGGCACAGAAAGATAGGTAAGTTTAAGAAATTATTAAATATAATTCATAAAAATCAATTATTTAAGAAAAGTTTAGAATTCAATTAATCATAAAAACTTATTAATATATATTTAAAAGATTAAAAATATGCTAGTAATGACCTAAGTAATTTAAGTTATGTTATTGAATGTCTTTTACTGTTTCCGGTACAGAAAGTGTTTATAGTGAAATATCAATCAAAAATTTTATTTTATTTTTTAATCTGTTATATATATTTGATTTTTAGTCTTTATTTTACAAAGAAACTTACAAATATTTGATGTCGCAGGAACTACTAAACAATTTGTATAAGTACATATACTTATACAAATTGAGAGTTTATAAAAAGAGATCAAATATACCAGTTTAATTGCATTCCAGTGATTGTGATGGATATCTAGAAGACTTCAAAAATATTTTTTTTTGGTATTCAATCTTTAATATTGTATATTTTTTAAACAAATAGGCTATTGTAGAAAGCAAATGGAATACAAGGAACAGTTACTCATAGATTATAATCCTATGACAAGTGTGTGCACATATATATACTTACACGTGACATATATAGTTTATAAATGCCTTGATGTTAGTTTGGCATAGAAGTAGGCATCAGCATTAACTGATTACATTACAATTCATCAATATCATAATAAAAGTAGTAATAAGTAAATGAACATTGAAATTCATGTTTTCCAGTAAAAATCTATTTAAAGAAATTTTCACTAAAATTTGTTTTGTTAATTTTATTTTGTTATTTTATGAAGACAAAATAAACAATACACACTATAGTTTTACATAACTTACTTCATCTTTTCTTGATATACATTCTAGCTGCTTATCATGTTTATTAAGAGAATGAAAAGAATTGTTATGAATCTAATCAATTTTATGAAGTTTTGGTTCATTTGTATGCACCATACTTTGTTTTGAGAAGCTTTTCAAATTTGACTCCTAGTGAAGTGTTTATTAAAAAAATATTAATACATTAAGATAAAAATATTTTACTTGTTTTAAATACTAAATTAATCAATTATTTAATACCAATTGATACCATTGGAATGTTTCATATCAATTCTGGTTATTTAATACCAGAATTGATATGAAACAGAACTATATATAGAATTTATTATAAATGTTTAAAAAAAAATTAAGCAGACAGGAAATAATCTTTTTATTAAAACTATGTTAGCAAACTTATTTATGAAAATATTTATATAAACACTTACGATGTCATAAGAAATTAATAGAGAAAAGATTAATCTTTTCTCTTTCATTATCACAAAATATAAAATGGTCTATTATAAATTTTATATATATCATGGTATCATAAATTTGTGCCTTGATTTATTTATTAACCCTTTCTGAACCCTTCCACAATTATCATTCACACCCTCAATTTGAGATAAAGTATCAATGAATTGATTTTAAAAAATGAGAACAAAGTGCAAAAATTGATAGGTAATATCAATAAATTACAAATATTTATCATTTTTTATTTTAATAATTTTTATTGTGTAACAAAACATAATTTATAATATATTTCCAGTGTATTAAAATTTTTATAAAATTTATTAAGGTATAAATTTATACTTTTGTAACCCACTACAGAATTCATTAATTTCCTGCACTTTGATACATAGTTTAATAATTAGTTTAATAGACATAAAGTTGGGTAATAAATATCACTGATTTTGGCAAATTTAGGGCTTAAAAACTGTCAACATTGATCATACCTACACTTTACCAACCTTTAATATGCTGTCTATTTTATTAACGTAATCTATCTAACATTTTTGGTCAATTAATTGACTGAAAACGTTAGATTACATTAATAAAATAGACTACACTTTACCAACCTTTAATATGCAGTTATTTTGAAAGTGCAGTTTGAGAAGATCATACCTGTAGTAATACTGTAGTATGTTATAGTTTTGAATATCAACTAGGTAGCCTGATCACTTTTTTTATGTGGGAAAAATGCTTTTTGAAAATTTTTAAATTTAACTTTTTGTTTAAATTATGTTGCGTTTAAAAACAGTTGCCCTTTTTGTTGAAAGATTGGTTATAAAATTACGTGTTGCTAAGTCACGAATTCATTTTTTTATGGACAGTACAGTACTATTTGTATATCAGAGAATCCTGTTTGTTGATTTATGATTCCTTGTGTTTACTAGATTTACATACAAATGATGATAAAATAAAAATACTATGTTTCATTTGTAAATTGCTTCTTTTTTCATTACATTGAAATTGTGTATCCTATCAAACATGTTTCTACAGGATGCATGTACTATACTTTTTTGCACAGTCTTTGGAATGTATCAACTGTGCAAAAAGGGATAGATGTACTTGATATTCATGATAAGTAAAATGCTGTTTTATTATGTTCATATTCCACACAATGAGAAATGTGAAGGTCAAAGAATTTGGACAAAGTTGGTCAGGGAAAATCAGGGAATTCAAAACAAATTTTAAGTAGAAATCTTGTATATACTATGTATCATATAAGGTGAAAATGTCCAGTGACATTTTAACTTGTGCAGTCTTTAAAGGTCATTTCACACCAAAATGTTATGCATATCTCATGCAATATGCTCTATACTTTCAGAAAACAGCTTTTATTAAGGCCCACCAGTGGCTAAATGGATAAAACCACCAAACACTGAATTGCACCTAGTCATGTAAAGTACTAATTATTATTATTGGATATGTGTGCTGGTAAGATGCCCGTTAACCTAACGGGTACTTTACGCAAGTTTGCAGTTAAATTGCCGGGCCTGGACTTGTGCGTGCATTGAAATAATTTCAATAAGAGATCAATTATTTAATAGTAACTCAATTAAAGACTATTTACAAAATTAGTAACAAGCAAACAATTTATTCAATGAAAAAATCAACGATTTGAACAACAGACAAAATCAAATTAATCTAGCTTAGAACTATTACCCCTTGGAACTTGACAATCTCAAGTACTTAACCTATGTACTGTACAACAATTCTTACAAATCTAAGGTACTAACCATCATCTCAATATACTAGGAACCTTTTTCCTTTTTCTATCCTTCCCTCTATCCTCAAAACTCGGTCCCTCTCTCTCTGGAACTGACTTCTATCACTGGAATTGCCTTGATCGCTTTCTGGACTTCACTTCGTAATGCTGCTCTCTGGCGCTCACCTCGATTGTCTTCTCTTGACGTACTGGCTTTATACTTTGAGGTAACGTCATAATTCTGACTGGAATCACTCCCCTCATTTACATACTTAAATCTAACATTTAATTTTTATTCTTTTCCTGGCAGCCTAATTACCAACAATGCTCGCTAACCTTTTACATTATTTTTTAGTACATTTTTTGGGATGTTTAATTTTTATAAGGTTTAGCAAGTTCCCTACTTAGTGCTTGTGGGCGTCCCCCCCCTTTTCTTACTGAGGAACTTCGTTTAACTTCCACCTTGTGGTGCAAGTGCGCGTTAGTTTCCTTACGGCGCTTTGTCTCGTCAGTGAGTTGGTTTTTCTTCTGTTTTAGTTACTAAGGTGAGTAGTGAGGGAACCTTTGTCCTAACAAAACATAAACCCCAAACAAAAATAGAATAAAAGCAAAATAAAAATTAACTAAAAATAACACTTGGACTCAGTTCCTTACAGTCAACAGGCTGGTCATGTGGAGTTTTCTGGGTTTTCTTCACATTAGTAACACATAAATAGGGACTAGTTTCCATAAATATTCTCTGGGAGGCATCCTTCCTTGGCAGATTGCTCATATGTTGCATTGCCTTAACAAAAATTCAAACCTATTAGTTCAAACGAATATATTCACATCTCAAGAGCTATACCTCTATATAACATACACTGAGCTCTATTTTTATGCTATTACCCAAGAAAAAATTACAAAACGTCGTGCAATATTTGACTGAGTTTGCATTTGTAAAAAAATGTATTAACCTTTATATTTTACTAGCAGACCCCGCCACGCGTTGTGGCTCAAAATGTATCTATTATAAATTTATAACACTTCCACCGTGGGGGGAATTTTTCAAAAAATTTCTTCTTAGTGTAGATTCTCTTGACATACCCTATTAAAACGCAATCAAAAATGCAAAAACCCGCATCTAAAATAGTATAATAGAAGCCAAGTTCTTCACGGTAAGCCTTAATCCTGCCTCTCTCCCCTGCGGGGGGAATATTGAAAAATTTCTTGTTAGTGTACATTCTGTTGACATACCTTATTAAAACGCATTCAAAAACGCAAAAACCCACATCTAAAATAGTATAAATAGAAGCAGAGTTCTTTACGGTAAGCCTTAATTTTAACCATCTCCCTTTAGTGTGGTTGAATTTCGACATGTATATTATATAAAAACATGTGCGTATTCGAATGCAGCGTTGTGTCAAAATTTCAAAGGAATCGGTAGGAACAAACGAACATTACATTTTTATATATATAAATAGATAGAAGATGATCTGCTTTAGTTCATTTTCACAGAAAAGCATAATGCCTCACAGAAAAGCAAACTTAGGGTGTCGTACTCGTAGCGCCATCTGTTGGACATAAAAGCCTTAACCATGGATGATATTATTTAATTCATATGAATGTTTAACAAAATAATATACAGCCTATGTCCACCCTGAAGTTCCATTCTAAATATTGGTGAAAGAATTTTTGAAATCGGATGAGTAGTTTTGGAGATTAACTGCTACATCCAAACTTACTTACTTATTTACATACTTACAAACATTATCTCTTTATAATATTAGTATAGATTACTTTTCCAGTAGTTCACATGCTACACAAAAAAATTGATACTAAGTAGCATGTTAGGCACTGGAAATGCAACACAAGGGCAATCTGCTAATTGGGAAATGTCTGCCAAGTGGGTTTTTAAGGGAAACTGGCCCCTATTTGGGCATTATTGATGCAAAGAAATCCTGGTAAACTTCACTAGCCAGACTGTCAGTTCAAGTGTGAACCCAAGCTGACTACCAGTGTTTAGGGATCAAATTGCTTAGCCACTGATGCAACATAAGTGTAGGATGGAAAACAACACACTACTGGATTCAAGGTGGAAAATTTTTTTGTAGCAGTCTTGACTAGGATTTGATTCAGGATCCTTCCTGAAATGCTACTGCTCAGTTGTTTGGCTGGCTTTCAGTGTGTGAGGAAAACCAAGTGTTTTTGAAATTGACCCTTTGACATGTTATTGAAACAATGTGAAGTGCAAAGACAAAAATAAAAAATTCAGCAATAAGTTGCATAACTTTCCTGGCAAAAGAATTTAAAATTGCATTCTGACCTTTAACCATCAAAATTTCATAGCATCAATTGCACTGATTGATGCTATGAAATTTTGATGGTTAAAGGTCAAAATGCAATTTTAAATTCTTTATATCCTTAAATTCCCTTATATTCAAGCTACCATGCCAAATTTAGTTTCTTAATCTTTACTCCATTGTAAAGTGGTAATTCTAGAAAATTCTCCATAGTCAGCCAAATGGTGAACATAATCAACTATTGTGACAGTCGAAAATAAATCAATAAACAAACCTTAGTCAATCCAGCTATAAATTTATTTAAATAAAAGTGTTTTCAATTAGATTTTACTGATCTTGATATTTATTAGTTTAATTAATTTTACAAAATGTAATTTTCTGTGTTTATTAATTATCACATTTTAATTATTTATTCTTAAAACTTTCATATTTATGACTTTATTTTGAGTTTGTAATTATACATTCTAAAGAATTCGAAGCATTGGTAACTAAAGATAATCAGTAAAATCTGATTGAAAACGTTTTTATTTCAATAAATTTATAGTTGAATTTATTAAGGTTTAGTTTATTGATTTAACTATAGTGAGCTTCTCCAGAACCAACTAAGACCAGCTTTATGCAGGAAATGTCAAGGTATCTTTTCCAATATTGTGTGCTTCATACAAGACAATAACAGGTCTCATACAACAAATGACACCAGGATGTTGCTTCAAGATATGTGTTTCGAGGGCCTTCCACATCCTCCATACTCCCTTGACTCATCACCAGATGAGTTTCACCTCTTTTGCCATTATAAGACACACTGTTGTAGGACTGCCATTTCCAATCTGACAAGAAGCTTCAGCCTGCAATGCATGAGTTACTCAGTGGCCAAAAGACTTCTGGCAAATTATGCATTGGTATCCCACTGGCACAAATGCATAAATGATGCATTTGTGCCAGTGGGATACCAGTGCATCAAGATGTCAGAGGATTACTCCAAGACTTAGATAAGTGTGCTATGCCTTTACTTTGTAAGTTGATGTTTCAGAGCACATTTTCAGTTACTTAATGATTGACCCTTATATATATAATTTCTTTTTTATTTATGGTTTTATTTTTTCATTATTTTTACTTTCCCGGCTGTTATGTAAAATTAAGTCTCTTGCTATTTTATATTAATTTTAAAAATGTATAAAGTTTTCATAAAAATCTCATAACAGATGGCACCACATACAATTTTAGTTATTTATTTTGATTAATAATACAAATGTTAATTTTTAAATAAAATCTCAAAAGCCAGGAAAGTTACACAACTCGTTGCTAGATTTTTTTTATATGGAAATTTGTATGTTTGTTATTGCAATGATAAAATAATACTATCATCATCATCATTCTTGTGAATTAGTTTATTGAAAAATTTGAAAGCCAGCATTAATTCTTGAATAAGAATATAGTAGTTGGAATTATTGATATTCAAATTATGTATTATGAATTGTTATAATTACAATTCTGTTTTAAAATATTGTAAAATATTAAGTCATTAAATGTGTGTGTTGAACTTTAATTGTTTTTAATTTCATTTTCAGTCTATATTTGTATATTTCAATTTGGTCAATTTAATCAAAATTTTTTTACAATGAGGTTTTTAACTGAAGGATGGGAAGGAGCAAAAACTTGGAGTATGATGGAAGTGTATGATTCATTACCTTCTCAAGAAATTCGAAGGTAAGGAAATTTAAATTTTATACAGTTAAAATAATTTTTATTTTATAACAGTATTTAATCTTTTATAAGATAACTTATTAAAATAATGATTTATTTATTTTATTTTTTTTTTTAGAATAGAGAGTTTAGAGTTCCTGGATGAAAAGGAATTATTATTGCAGCTATTACAGCATTATTGTATTACTTTGGCTTATAAAGGTGACAAGGAACTCTTGTTCTGTGATGTTGGATTTGCATAGTCATCCTTGTACATTGTTGTTCTTCATTATTTGTGTTCTCTTCTTGAATTATACAATCATCATAAAGCCATGTTCACTTCTAGCCAAGAAGTATACAAGATGAAGATATTGTCAAATATTAAAAATAACATAATAATAATAATTATAATAATCGACTTAAAGTAAAATTTTTAATATATTTGTGACATGTTTGTTATTTTACAAATCTGTACACTCATGCTGTTGTTAATATAATGTAATAATTGTTGCAAGATTACAAGTTTCCTTTCTTAATCTATCTATTGTCATTTTAAAAATACATTTGATAAACTTTTTAATCCGTTCTTTTTCTTGCACTTTTAAAATGTAAAAAATTTTTAAACAGTTTAAAAAACTATTTAAAACGGTTAATTTTGTTGGCGAAATACTTTTAAAACGAAATAAAATTCATAATTAATAGGAAAATATAATGGGTAACTGAACTTTCAGATTTGAGTTTTGATTTACTTTTTTTTACTATGCCTTTCATATAATTTAACACAGTTGATTTATGTACGTTCATAAAATAAAGATGTGTTGATAGTTTATATTGTAATATTATATATATTACAATATATATATATAAAATCACAATAATTCTTAAATTAAGATACTTATGAAAATAAAAGTTTTATTTTCCAATTTAAAATGGATTTTTAAAATATTTTGTAAGAAATTTGTTTTATGACTTTTGTTTGNGGGATAGCGAATCTAATTTCAAAATTAAGGACCTTACTCATTTTTAATATATTGAATATTAAATTACTCAAATTTTGAATCCATGGAATTATTTTATTTCATTAAATAATAATAAATTACTACCTAATATGATTTGTTGGGAGAAATAGAAATGCTTTAAAAATGTTCCATCAAGTAAACAGGAAAATAAAATTGTTTTATTTCTGTGGTGGATTTTTTAAAGGACGCAGTACATTTAATGACATCCAGTGAAAACGAACTGTTTTTTTAAAATGATAACCTAATAACTTTTCAGGAAGTGGTTTTTTTATAGATAAACAGTAAAAAGTTTATCTAGGTTTTTTATTATTTTTACTCATATCTTTAAAACCAATTTAGTGTTATTTGCAGTAAGAGTAATAAAAAGATATTTTGGAAATTATAATAATGTATATACTTAATGTAGTTTAAAAATTATTTTTTATAGTAAAATTATAAGCTAGCAATGATTTATGTAAAAAAAGATGATAGATTTTTGTTGCATCATTTTGGTTTTGGTCTTTCAATTATTAGAAGAAAAAAGTTTTCCAGGACTGGCTACCTGCTTTAAATCTAGATTTATTTATTTTTTTTAAGAATATTAATGAGAGCTTTAAACCCTTTTTTACTGTTATATGTAATCAATTTATTATATCATTATTTACAAATCATTCAGTTTGCTGGATTATTTCAATCCAGGAAATATCTAATTATGCAAGAAAAACTTATGCACATTACAGTTGATAAATTTTTTAATCTGTTCTTTTTCTTGCACTTTTAAAATGTAAAAAATTTTTAAACAGTTTAAAAAACTATTTAAAACGGTTAATTTTGTTGGCGAAATACTTTTAAAACGAAATAAAATTCATAATTAATAGGAAAATATAATGGGTAACTGAACTTTCAGATTTGAGTTTTGATTTACTTTTTTTTACTATGCCTTTCATATAATTTAACACAGTTGATTTATGTACGTTCATAAAATAAAGATGTGTTGATAGTTTATATTGTAATATTATATATATTACAATATATATATATATAAAATCACAATAATTCTTAAATTAAGATACTTATGAAAATAAAAGTTTTATTTTCCAATTTAAAATGGATTTTTAAAATATTTTGTAAGAAATTTGTTTTATGACTTTTGTTTGCAGATGTGTGCCTACATAAATAATATAAATAATATACACACGTGTATACATTTTTAATTTAGTCACTTACAAAATAATTTATTACAACAAAAAAATATTCTGAAAAGGATTTAAAATAGTTCATAATTTTTCAGTTTATTAGTTTCACGTTTTTATACTTCTTCAAGGAACTTGAAGTTGCAACACTGAACATCATTAAAACCTTTGTAAATATTGAATAGTTGTGGTTCCTATATACAAGGAAACACGATTGCAACAATTGCGAATATTTACCTACATCAAACAAAAATAATATATAAAAATAATTTTGTTGGATGAACAATATATCAAATAAATTTTTCATGTTGTTTAGATTACTCTAAAAAAAAAACCTGTTGATTCATTTAACCTGAGGCGATCACTTATTTAACTGCTATTAAATTATATATAGGTTGTTGGTTTTGTTTCATTAAATTTTTATCATCGTTTAATATGCTTCTGGGCATATTTTAGTAAAAGTAATATCGATTGGCTACAAAATTTTAATTAAGAAAATTGTTTTAATAAACGAATACAACTTGGTATTAAAATGTTAATTTGATATTTTTATACATTAGACGTAGTTAAACACCCAATTAAGTTGCTGAAAAAGATGATGGGTTTAATAAATCTGAGTTTAAATCTACAGAAAACTTCGTGGCACTTTGACACTTCCGAATTGTACTTAATTTATTTGACTTATAATTTTTTTTTTCTTTTCCCCTCTTGTTTTCTAACTTCAGATGATTGTATTTTGTATGTTTTCTAGATAATCCATCATAATAGGTGGGAATGAACTCTGTAAGAAATGAAATATATAAGAATAATTCAAGAATTGGATATTTAGGTTATAGTCTAAAACTGATATTTACCTCGAAGCTGCGTTATAAAGCAAAAAATAAATTTTTAATGTATATTTCTATTTCTGCTTATGATTGTAGAAAACATCAAAAGTTCTATATTCTTCGTTTAAAAAAATAAAATAAAATATAGTCCGATTTACAACGTGATAAACTTCGATTTTTCATTCGAATGAGTGCCGATATTACCATTAGGAAATGATTAGTGCAGTGACCATTTCGCGTTTTATAGCTCAGCAAACTTTTTTAAATTTGGCGTTAATAAAGAATAAACAACCAAATAATGTCTATTTTTACTTGAATTATTCTTTATAGAGATAGATATAATTGTATTTATAAGACGCTACAGGCTATATAAAATTTTCTATTTATTTGTTTGATATAAAATATAAAAATTTTTCTACTTAAAATATTTCATTGTTTAAAAAAAGTTAGGCTAAAAATTATTACAACCATTTATATATGAGCAAGTTTTAATCCTATTTTTAGAGCAGCTTTTATCTCAAAAATTCACATAAAAGTTTGAATATTTCTTTTGATCTTTAAGTCAAATGAAATTTCGTCAGCGGAATTTCACTTAAACTGAATGTACTGTACTCGTATATTTAATTTTAATACCCGTCGATTAAGTTGTTAAGAGTACTGTATTAAAGTTTTTAATGCTCTGTAACATGAAGTCAGATCAATTGGCTTCAGTATTAAGTTTAGTTATGTTTATTATAACCGAAAATAATTGGTGGGAGATTAAAAAACAAATTTAGTATTTATTTAATATTGAAAAATTTGCGAAAATGATCATATTTTGAAAATTGATCTTTTGTCTTAGAGGCGTTACCGATATTACGGACTTTACAATAACTGTTCAAGTCATCTCAATAAACATTTATTGTAAATTTTAATTGCTAGTATCAAATCCCTCATTATGGACAAATGGATTCTCTGTAAGATCGGTTTACATCTAAAAGCTATAACATGAATTCTCGATCAAACTACTGTATATATGAAAAATAATGGCACTGAATTAAATTCAAATCATCAATGACATATATTGATGATGATTTTTATTTGTTATTCATGTATGCTATTTACGAGAATTATTGTATTTGAAGCAATTATAAACGAAATTTCTGGTTTACTTGAATAAAACACTTAAATTAGGTTAGGTTACGTTAGTACGCAGCGATTTATTTTATTATATCACAGTTGAAGAGTTCCAAAATCATACGTTAACTTAGATTCTAATATTAAACTAATTTTAAATTTAGACAAAAATAATTTCATTTATGTTCAATTTTCAGAAATGATCTTTAATGGAAAAATGACGTAAATATATATGAGAAATTAAGAACTGGCTTGTTTAAATAACACCACTTTGAATAACTTTTCAATGATATACCGAATACCATTGTTTTTATGAATATCTAAGAAGTAAGACGAGTAAGAACGTTAAGTTACTTATAAAAATTGTATTTTACTTTAAATTTGAAGGAAAAATATCAGATTCATGATACAATTGGCTCAAATGTGTAGCCTACAATACAATATGAAGTCTAAAATGCGAAATTTATTTTAAAAAATACATATTACAGAAAAATATTTAAAAAGTAGATTACAATTGTTTTCAAACTCCCTAGTTTGATAATTGATTAAATTGATAGAATTGATTCTTAATTTTTAGCGGAAACGACTAAATTGAGATGTCATTTTAATTAATATATCAAATTTCAGCCAAGGATATTCTTGCGAGAAAGAAACATTGACCACTCCAGTGATTTTATAGTAGCGAATGGTTCTTTCACGAGGAAAGTCCCAATTCAAATTACGCTCTAGCGGACACCCTTCTATTTCCTGAATAACCAGTGAAAGGTAAAAGGGAGGAGTTTTGTTACTTGTTACTGCATAAGCGGAAAGGGTGTTACCGGCAAAAAAAAAAAAAAATAGAGCGAACCTTGTCATTTAGTTTTTCTTCTTTCCTATTTATTAATAAGTATCTAATTATATTATATTATTATATTAAATTATTGGTAATGTATCTACTGGCATTGCTTTAAAATAGATACATACGAATATGTATTATTATCGTTTCATTTTTAATGTTTTAATTATAGTCACAACTCGATACATCGATAATCGAAATTTGACTATATTATGATTAAGTATACATATCTATCTATGCAATGTTAATATATTACATCAATAAATACTCGTACTATACTCATAAAATACTTATTATTTTCTGTTCTCTACAACGACAGTTATGCAGTAAATTAAATGTTAATTTAATTTA